GTAGAGATGAGGTCTTACTGCCCAGGCGGGTCTCGAACCCGCAGGCTCAGGCAACCCACTCACCTCAGCCTCCCAAAGCGCGGGATTACAGGCTGAGCCACCAAGCCGGGCTGAGTAACTACTTTAAATATAAATGAATTTAAATCCCCATTAAAAAAACATAGATTGACTGAATGAATAAAAAGCAGGATTCAACTATATGCTGTCTACAAGAGATTCATTTAGATCTAAAGAAACACATAGGCTGAAAGTGAAAAAATTGAAAAGATATTTCATGTAAATGGTAACCAAAGAGAGTAGGAGTAGTTATAATACTAATAATACTAATATCAGATGAAGTAGACTTAAAACAAAAAACCGTCACAAAAGACAAGGAAATACATTATATGATGAAAAAGGGTCAATTCACCAAGAAGATATATAGTAATAAATGTTCATGCATAAAACCTCACAGTTTCTGGATATAGAGCAAACTTTGACAAAATTGAAGGAAGAAATACACAGCAACACAGTAACAGCAGGAGACTTCAGTACCCACTTTCAATAATGACTAGAACAATCAAATGGAAGATGAATAAGGAAACGAAGGATTTGAACAATACTATAGACCAATTGAATCAAACAGACATACACAAAACTGTCTGCCCAGTAAGAGTAGCAGAGCATTCTTCTCAGGTGCACATAAACTGTCTCCAGAATGGACTACATGTTAAGTCACAAAATAAGCCTTAACAAATTCAAGAAGAAATCATACCAAGTATTTTTTCCAAACACAATGGAATGAAACTGGAAATCAATAGTAGAATGAAAACTGGAAAATCCACAAATGTAAAAAATTAACATACTATTAAGCAATCAATGGATTAAAGAAGAAATTGCAAAGGAAATTAGAAAATACTTAGAGACAGGTGACAATAAAAACACAATATATCAGAACTTAGGGGATACAGTGAAATCAGTGCTGAAAGTTTGTAGCTATAAATGCCTACATTAAAATAAAGAAAAGTTCTCAAATGAACAATTTAATTTTTCACCTCAAGAAACTAGAAAAAGAACAAATTAAATCCAAAGTAGCAGAAGAAAGGAAATAATAAACAAAATAGAGAATGAAAAAAATCAACAATACTAAAGGTTTGGTAAAAACCTTTTTTTTTTTTGCTTTAAAGACCAACAAAATTTGCAAACCTTTAGCTCAAGTAACTAAAAAAAAAATGCAAATAATTAAAGTTAAGATAGAAAGAGGAAACATTAAACAGATACACAGATATAAAAGAGTTATAAGAGACTACTATGAACAATGCCAACAAATTGGATAGCCTAAAAGAAATGGGTAAATGCCTAAAGCATGTAATTTACCAAGACTGAATCTTGGTGAAATAGAAAATCTGAACAGATCAATAACAAGTAAGGAGACTGAATTAGTATCAAAACCACCATAAAAAGGTCAGGTGCAGTGGGTCATTCCTGTTAATCTCAGCACTTTGGGAGGCCAAAACAGGAGAACTGTTTGAGCCCAGGAGTTAGAGACCAGCCTGGGTAACACAGCAAGACATCATCTCTACAAAGCATAAAAAAATTAGCCAAGCATGGTGGCATGCCTGTAGTCCCAGCTACTCATGTGGATGAGGTGAATCACCTGAGTCCAGGAAGTCAAGGCTACAGTGAGCCACAGTCGTGCCACTGCCTTCCAGCCAAGATGACAGAGTGATATCCCAACTCAAAATAAATAAATAAATAATAAAATAGAAGAGGAAAATTTCAGGACCAGATTACAACATTGGAGAATTCTACCAAACATTTAAAAAGAATTAACACAAATTATCCTGAAGTTCTACCAAAAAATTGAAAAGGCAGAAATACTCCTAACTCATTTTGTAAGACCATCATTACCCTGATACCAAAGCCAAAGACATCACAAGTAAACAAAACTATAGACCAATATTTCTAACGTATATTGATGCAAAAATCCTCACCAAAATACTAACAAACCAAATTCAACAGTATATTAAAAGGATCAAACACCATAACCAATTGGGATTTATTCCCAGTTTCACAACACTATGAATATAATTAACACTACTGAAGTGTGCACTTTGAAATGGTTAAGATGATAAATTTTATTATTTTTACCACAATTAAAACAATTCCTTTATGTAAATAATTGTTATATAAAATAGCTTGTCCTCAACAACAAATATTTGTTACTTACTTTGTAATGAGTAACTATAAAAAGTAAAGGATTTAGCTCTTCTAATGTGATCATATTTCCTTTTCTGTAAGGCATATTTGAAATACAGAAAAGTCAACATCTTCAGTGGCTGTCAGAGTCCAGGTGGAGGCAGTGCCAGTATGTCAGCAGTCAACTGGAACCATTTTCACTTCTGTGTAAATCCCTTTTATCGAATGTCTCACAATGGGATACTTTTAAGAATAGTACGGCTGTTTATTTTCTGACCAGCACACCTTTCTGTTCAGAAAATGCTTCACTAGAAGAAAGTACAAAATCACCAGAAGAAAGTAAGAAAGCATTCAATGTCTTAATCTAACTTATGTACATGTGTGTGGATTTTTAATATATATATTAATAGCTTACATTATGAAAAATTGGAGGAACATAACTATCTTCTAAGCATGCACTTATTATTATTCAATGTAATCTTAGTAACAATCTTATAAAATGATTGTTATGAACTTCATTGTTGTTGATGAGCACATCTAATAAGAAATCAGAATTTCAGAGAGATTAAATATACCACACTAGTTTCATTACACCACCCTTGTTTTGAACCTTGAATCTGAAAAAGCCTACATATATTCCTCATTTTAATGGATGTGTTTCAAAAATTGATATTTCTCTAAATTTAAATTACTTGCTATTTCCAGCACATCTTTTTTTCTTTTTCCATTTTGAATTATCCTCCCTACTTTTCCCTACCACTTTCACTCCCATTCAGGATACAGCCTAATTTGTTCTTTTTTCCCCCACATTTCTCTCTACTTTACTTCCAGACTTTTACCATAATATACAATTTTATACTAACATAAATATCTTTACACATATATCCTTTGCTTTTATTTATTTATTTATTTGAATCAAGGTTTGACTCCGTCACCCAGCTTGGAGTGCAGTGGCAGGATCATGGCTCACACTCCTGCTTCAGCCTCCCTAATAGCTGGGACTACAGGCATGTGCCACTACACCCGGCTCATTTTTTTTATTTTTTTGTAGAGATGGGCATCTTACTATGCCTTGGCTAGTCTCGAACTCCTGGGCTCCAGCAGTCCTCCTGCCTCGGCCTCCCAAATTGTAGGGATTACAGGCATAAGCCACCACACCCGGTCATAAATCATGTTTATGTTATTAATTGCTGCCAGGTTGCTTTCTTTAAAAGTCTATGATAATTTATATTTCCTCCAGCAATGTGAATGCCCCTTTTCCAATAGAAGTATTGATTTGTTTAGCTTTTGCCTGTCTGAAAAGCTTAAAATACTTTTAACATCCCTATTAGCAAGTTTAAGTATCTTTTCTGATGTCTGTTGACCATTTAGATTTTTCTTTATTTCCTCTTTGACCATTAAAGAATTTATAAGAATTAGTGTTATAGATAATTTTGTCTTATTATATATATTAATCTTTTCATTCAAATATTTCCAAATGTGTGCAGTTGTCTATTGAATTTGTTTTTAGTATGTACTATACAAATGTTCTAATGTTTGTATAGTCAATTATGTCTATTTTTTCTTCTATATTTTAATTTCCAGTCTGATTAAGAAGCTCTCCTCCTCCGCTAGTTTTCTCTCTGAGTCATTCTCATTTTATTTTGTTGCATTTGTAACTAATCTGTTTGGGACCTACAATCTATTATACTGTAAGAGTTAGTAAGTATTATTTAAAATAATTCCTTATTGATTCTTTTTGTAAAGTGAAGATTTTTTATTTTTCAAATAATTCCAAATGCATTCATCTGAAACTAGATTTTCGTGCAAAATGAACTTTTTAGAAGATAAACACACCAGTATTATCTACATTCCAAAAAGCTATTTCTATAATCTAAATTGTATTCAAAGTTATACATTGGGAAAATACCACAGAAACAAAAGGTGAGTGGAAAGGATACCTGTATCTGTGGTAATTGGAAATGAAGACTAGAAGACTTCCCACCTTGCAAGAGATTGGGATTCAGTAGGACTCTATTGCAATGGTAAGAGGGGTTAGTATTTTTTAAATATATAGATATGATGTTTAAGTTTTCAAAAACATAATCTTGTTGCATTTTCATTTGATTCTCATTTCCTATATCTGTTATAGGTGGGTTATGAATAGAAATCACTAACCTCTAGAGTTATGAGTTTATATTCATCAGAAAAATATCACACATGCCAGAGCAAGTTATAGAGTGTTGACTATGTCCTTTGCCTCTCATTTTATTCCTTCGTCTGTCCATCTTCTTGTTATATCACTATTCATCAACCACTTCAGCTGGACCATGAAACTTAAATCTACCTTAATGCCAACCTCTTTGGAAGTATTATGGATAGCTAGTGATATAACACCTCAAATTCTATGAAAATAAATCTCACTTTAAAAGTCAGCCATTTTTTTTAAAACTTCACAATTTTATATCAGGTATTTTCATTGTGATATCTTTTGGTGATATAAAGTATGTGGTTGTTAATATCAATTTATTTCTCTAAATTATATCTAGCTGTACTTTTGAATGAAAATGAAGAAATATGTAATCCTATAAATTTTCCCTGGGAGAAACTCACTCCATTTCAAAGGCTTATTTTGGTAAGATGCAGTATGAGAAAATTTTAATATTCTAAATGTTTTTAGCACTTTATTAGTAACCTAATCCTTCAAAATTAAATTTCTATAAGCAAAATATATTTATTTTTAAATGCCAACATTTAGTGGACATTAATGTTACAGAGAAGCACTTACACTCCACCCTTAATTTTCCTTTCATGTGGAGAAGAGTCCAGTTAGAGTAACATTCCTGCTGTCTCTCTTCCCCTATTCATTCTTCCCTAGAGATGAGGACTCACCAGGTTGGTAAATTTGAGAGATGAGCTGAGAGTACATGGTACAACCCTGTCTTCCCTGTCCCTCTTGTGGTGTGTCTGCCTGCAAAGAGCATACTTTGCTTCTCCATGCCACAACTTGTACAGGAATAGACTCTGGTCTAATGGCTAACCAACACTGTTTGTGACAGGTAAGTCTGTCTAATTTTAGGTTCAGTATCAGGAAGCACATTGTTGCTTTACACCTAAATGACATCCAGCAGCATGGCCTTTATTATCCTTTTTTTTTTTTTGAGTTGGAGTCTCACTGTCACCCAGACTGGAGTGCAGTGGCCGCTCCCGGCCACCGCAGCCTCGACCTACTGGGCTCCGGAGATCCTTCCGCCTCAGCCTTCCAAGTAGCTGGAACCACGGGCACGCGCTAACACACCCGGCTAATTTTTTTTTTTTTTTTAATTGTAGAGATGAGGTCTTGCCAAGTTGCCCAGGCGGGTCTCGAACCCGCGGACTCGGGCAATCCACTCACCTCAGCCTCCCCAGGCACGGGATTACAGACTGAGCCACCGAGCCTGGCTATGGCCTTTATTATTAATGAAGATGGTATTTTTCCTGACACCTCTTTCTCAATTGTTTTAGAATCTGTCTGGGGTAGGAGGTTGGGAGGTTAGGGTTTTGCATGGGTGTCATTTATGAGCCTCCTCCTAAAACATCAAAAGTTTAGTATATGTTAAGTACTTCACATACCTTACTCTGCTTAGCTCTTTTGGAGGGTGGACACAATTATTTCCCCATTTTACAGATTAGAAAATCAAAGCTTATAAACTGCATAATAAAGCCAGGATTGAATCTCACTCAGTTTGGCTCTAAGGTCTATGCTCTTGGCAGTCATACTATATTATACTTTCTCAAGTAGATCATTCTAAATTCATCCTTATTACCTTGAAAACCCTTCCATTTTCACCTTTACCCACCAGTTTAGTGAGGGGAAAATCTCTCATCTCATTCCCCTTAAGTTCCTAAAAATGCCAAACTGGCAATCAATAATTCTTCTTTTGATTTCTGCCTTAAATTTTATTTTTGCAATACTTTAAAATTCACTCTAGATAGAGATTGCAAAAAGAAAGAAAGAAAAAAAAAACAGACTGCATCTGGCACATAGACATGTCTTTTTTGGCCAGAAGTTTTGTTTTTTAACTTTTTTTTTTTTTTTTTTTTTGGCGTCTCACTCTGCCCAGACTGGAATGCAGTGGCATGCTCCTGGCCACTGCAGCCTCGACCTGCTGGGCTCCGGCGATCTTTCCGCCTCAGCCTTCCAAGTAGCTGGAACTACAGGCGCGCACTACCACACCCGGCTAATTTTTTGATTTATTGTAGAGATGAGGTCTCGCCAAGTTGCCCGGGCGGGTCTCGAACCCACGGTCTCAGGCAATCCACTCACCTCAGCCTCCCAAAGAGCGGGATTACAGGCTGAGCCACCGAGCCCGGCTTGTTTTTTAACTTTTAAAGCGCAATTTTTCACTAAACAAATGGACTTGAACCTATGACGATCTAGAAGATTTCTCAATTAGTCAACTTGGGCTGTGAAAACAAAGTACATCAGATTGGGTAATTTATAAACAATAGAAATTTACTGCTCACGGTTCTGGCGGTTGGGAAGTCCAAGATCCAGGACTCAGCAGATTCAGTGTCTGATGAGGGTTTGCCCTATGGATAGTGTCTTCTTGCTATGTCCTCATATGGGCATATGGTCTCCCTCAAGCTTTTTTCTTTTTCTCTTTTTCTTTCTTTTTTTCTTTCCTTCCTTCTTTCCCTCTTTCCCTTCTCTGTCATCTGTCTTTCTTTTGAGATGGGGGTCTCTCTCTGTCACCCAAACTGGAGTGTAGTGGCACAGTTAGAGCTTATTGCAGCCTCACTGTCCTGAGCTCAAGTGATCCTTTCACCTCAGCCTCCCAAGTCACTGAGACTGCAGATACGTGCCACCACACCAGTCTCTCTTTTTTTTTTTTTTCATTTTTTTACAGACAAGGTCTCACTATGTTGCTCAGGCTCCTCAAGCCTTTTCTTGTTTTTGTTTTTGCTTTTGAGTTGGAGTCTTTCTGTTGCCCAGGGTGGAGTGCAGTGGCATGCTCACAGCCACTGCAGTCTCAACCTGCTGGGCTCAGGTGATCCTTCCACATCAGCCTTCCAAGTAGCTGGAACTACAGGCACACGCCACCATGCCCAGCTAATTTTTGAATTTATTGTAGAGATGCCCACCAAGTTACCCCGGCTGGTCTTGAACCCATGGACTCAGGCAATTCTCTCACCTCAGCCTCCTGAAGTGCTGAGATTATAGGCATGAGCCACCATGCCCGGACTCAAGCCTTTTCTTTATACAGGCACTAATCTCATTCGTGAGGGAAGAGCCATCTTGACCTAATCCTCTCCTAAGTTTCTACCTCTTAATACTAACATACTGCTGCAGCTTAGGTTTTAACATATGAATTGGGGGGGAACATCAACATTCAAATCATAACAACTTCCAAGTCTTTAAGTAAAGATAACTAAAATAAGCATATACACTATTGTTTAAATTCTGTGTAAACACATCTTAAACTGAGTTGTTTCCTGTTTTTTATTGTGATAATACAGCATATATATATATATATTTATTATTATGTTATTGGATTTGCCATAATAATCCCTTTTACCTCTTTTTATGTGTGCAATTCAGTGATATTCAGTATATTCACAATGTTGTGCAACCATTACTCCCATCCATTTCCAGAACTTTGTCATCATCTTAAACAGAAATTCTGCACCTATTTAATATTAGTTTCCCATTCTCTCCTCCTGACAATCGCTGGCAACCACCACCCTATTTTTGCCTCCAGTCATGCAATACTCATCTTTGCATGTCTGGCTTACTTCGTTTACCACAATGTTCTCAAAGTTTACCCATGTTATAGCATGTGTCAGAATTTCATTCCTTTTTAGGCTGAGTAATAGTCCATTGTATGTATGTATCACTTCTTGCTTATCCATTCCATTCATCCATTGACAAGCAACAAAGATTGTTTCCACCTTGTGGCTATTGTGAATAATGCTACTAGAACATCAGTATACATACTTGGTTTTTGTTTTGTCTGGGGTTTGGGTTTTGTTTTTGTTTGTTTGTTTTTGAGCCAAAATTTGAAAATTGGGAGATTTCAAATAAAAATCTAGATTTCTAGACTTATCAAAAAATTAGAAAAGCATGTATTGTTTTGAGCCCACATTCCTGAATGGCAACTAGAGCTGAGTAGTGTTTGTCCCTTTGTACACTACAGTTGTCACTGATTATTCCTGACATTGATCCTTATTACTTCCTGACATTGTAGTTGAATGTTAATTGCCACTTAGCAGAATATTTACATGTTTATTTTTCTTTTAGAGGAGAATTCTTTTTTTTCTACCCAATCCACTTTTCTAATTTTCATTTTCTACCTGGCAACTTTAGACAGATTGATACCTCTACTCTACATGTGGGTCATTGGTATAGTCATGACATGAAAATATATTTAAGCTATATTAATTGACAGATACAAAACACTTAACCATCTGTATAGAACAGCTCCATTTGTGGAGAAGAGGGAGTAGATAGAGAAATGCTTGTATGTGTGTAGACATATCTATCAGGAGCCACAGAAAACAATACTGATTTTCTAGGAAGTAGCATCTTCGCTTTTCTATGTATACCTTTTTGTGTCACTTGAATTTTATGTAGCAAGTATGTATTATATGAACAATAAAAATAACTAGATTTTTAAACCCAGACTACATATCCTTTCCTCATTAAGTTCCCCGTGATTTTAGTTTATAAACAAGAAACTTATAAGTATAGTGATCCTATTTTCCAAACCAGAAATCGAAAGACATAGTCTGATAAAGTGTTGCATATACTGAGTTAGACATTTAAAACTGGGCCTGACCTGTAAGAGTCAGAAACTGAGATTAAGTTACAATATATCAGATGGGACAAAGTGGTCTTGTACTTTTAAAAAAGTTTTAAAGAAAAAAAAAGATTAGAAAGAAGGCTTTGCCTGGAGAGGAAAAACATCTCAGAATTCCATCAGGGCAAGGACTTTGTCAAGTTTTTTCACCTCTCTCCACTACTATGGGCTACAGTGCTGAAAAGGGGACAAGGCAGATGACAATGAGGAGATACGAACATGCTGTAAACTTTCAGAACTGTTTGTGGCTGCTTAGAAAAGAGCTACTGAAACTGAATTCAGTAAAACTCTACTTCTTCTGTCTTTTCTTTCTCTCCCAGGCCTGGAAATTAGAATTTACAACAGTGGAAAAATCTAACCAACTTAATTAAATAAAATGTAATAATTTAATCAATAGAGTAAAGGAGGAGCTAGCATCATGATGGTGACAAAAAAAAAAATCATGGTCACATTTGGGAGCATAGTTTCTTTGCAATGATGGTATCAGGAAAACACATCTAATCATTTGTTTCACACAACCAATTCTAACACTGTCTCATTAATTGGATATACTGGGTCTAACGCCAACATTGTCTAATTAATTGGATATACTTAGTAAACTTGGATATTAGACCCCAGATTTTTATGTGCTGCCAATTTTCTTTTTATAAACTATGTGGTACATTTAACTAAAATAAAAATTCAAGATTAGTTTTTCCAAACTGTAACAGAAAAGAACAGAATTCAGCATAATGATTATTATGTAAAACATATAAAAACTGCCAATATTTGACAGTTATTGATGGATGAGATTGTTAACTTTCCATGGTTCAACCTAGTACATCCACACAGAACCAAAAACACATACAGTTTCAGCATTGCCTTAAATGATGGCATCTCAGACACTAAACATGCTCAGGACATATTTTATGGTCAATAAGTAAAGAAATAGAATGTAAGTGATTTATATAAAACAGTTTTTATGGGAACGATCTTTCCTCTGAAATTTGCAATAATTTCCAAGGGACCCTGAACCTCTCTCTACTTACTACATGTGTAGACTGTCTTCAAAATCATTTAGTCTATTTAGAGTTCTATTCAGATTTGTATTCTATTTGCTTAGGCATACAAAGATTGTGCCATTTGTTTATGGTTTAATAATGGAAGAACAAGTAATCTTCCAGGTATGTTATCCTGGATTTTTATCCCTCCAACATCATGGGATTTTCTTGCTCTAGATGTGTACAGCAGAACAGGAATAAACCCAGGGGAAAAGTCTCTTTTTACAGAATCAGAGAATATAACTTGGATTTTTACATCCAAAACAATATCTCAGAGTGTGAAAGAGATAAGAGGCACAAGGTAGCCCTGGTATCTAGGAAGGGCCACATGAGAGTCAAAAGTCTGGTGGCAGCTTAGACCTACCATGCATAGTCTCTCTCTTCATTAAACTTTCACAGCAGGAGCAACACCAGAAACTCCAGCTGAAAAGCAAAAGAATGAATGAATACTTCTTATTTTTGTTTCGTTTTACCATAGAAAATATACCCCTAGGTGGTTTTTACATTTGCCTTATCTTCCTTGTTTTGTTTTCTAGATAAAAATTCTCAGACCAGAACATTTAAATAATTCAGTAAGAAAATTTATAACTGAAAAAATGGGAAATGACTATCTTCAAAGAAGTGGAGTTAATTTGAAAGAAGCATACAAAAATTCCAGTGCCAGAACTCCACTGATACTTATCCAGTCTCACGGTAAGCTGTTTGTGAATGGTTAAGTTAATGGTACAATATCATCCAAAAGATGTGAACAAGTAGGTTCCATGTCAGGACATTCTGTGTTTAAAGTATGTTCCTATCCTTATTTAAACATTTTGGAAAAGAGGCAGATTAAATTTTTCTAAAAATATAAAAGAACAAAGAGGACTAAAACTTCTTGGGTTCAAACAAATATGAAAACTTTTTATCAGTGCTCATTTTCTCCACAGAAAATACCATACAAGCACATACTAGAGATCTGAAAGTTGTGATAGCCCTTATATTTATTAACTATTTTGATTAGCATTAACTTTTGCAAAAATATGTCTGTTATAAAATGAGCTATCAGAAATTGACCCTGATGATCCAGCCCTTGTATTCCTCAAAACTCCAAATGTATTTTTTCCCCATTTTTTGTCTTTGCTCTACAGACCCTAAGTAAAATATTCTCTCCTAAGCAAAATATTTCCTTCATCTTCTGTTCTTCCTAGTCTCCAAATAAAATAATGTCTTTAGAATTTATCATTTTCAAACTTTGATTTCACTACACAAAACCTTGTCTAGAGTGCCTCCATTCGGAAGTTCTCTCATCTAGATCATTTCAAGCACCTGGCTATATGACTGACACACTCATAACAAGTACTGTCCATTTCTTGAAGACTTTGCCCAAGGTGATGTCTAATCTCTAGCACACCTCTTTCCTTTAAGGAGATACCCGAAGTATTACACAACACTTTTGCTAACAAACTTTTGCTGCCAAACTTGTTCCCAAAACTTAGTTGCCCATATCCAGCTGCAAGAGAAGCTAAAAATGTAGTATTTTAGTTGGGTACAAAGCCATCTTGAGCAACAGCTACAGAGGTGGGACAAGTAGGTGTGGGAGTAGATAACCAGCAGGTGCCGCTGTTAAATATTATCATCCCCATGTGTTAAATGACCCGGGTAGTAAGTGGCAGAGCCAAAATTTAAACCATGGGCTCTAATTTCAAAATCTATAGGCCTTCCATGGTGGCTACATCTTCTTCCACCACCACTCAATAAATGCTGGATTGTGTTTTTCAAGAGCAAATTAAATGCATTTACAGTTTTATGCACCACTCCACATTGTTATACAGAAGTGGACCTCACCAATACGCTTCTGAGATTTGCACAAGAGCTAAAAGGAACATCGCATCATGTGACTACCATTTCTCTGGGCCGTGGCCAGGCAGCTAAAGCTGAAGACCTCATTGTTAAGGCACTAACCAAAACACAGCAATGGGTCTTCCTCCAGAACTGCCACCTTGCAGCATCGTTTATGGCAAGACTTTGCACTATTGTAGAATCGTAAGTGTTTGACATTTATTTGTAAGGGATCAGACTAAGTATCAAAACTGTGAAGTGAAACTGGAAATGGCAATGTATACTGTGTATAAACAATGATAAAATAAGCCAGGCTCGGTGGCTCAGCCTGTAATCCCGTGCCTTGGGAGGCTGAGGTGAGTGGAGTGCCTGAGCCCGCGGGTTCGAAACCCACCTGGGCACTTGGTGAGACCTCATCTCTACAATAAATCAAAAATTAGCCAGGTGTGGTAGCACGTGCCTGTAGTTCCAGCTATGGAAGACTGAGGCGGAAGGATCGCCGGAGCCCAGCAGGTCGAGTCTGGGCGACAGAGCGGGACTCCAGCTCAAAAAAAAATGATAAAATAATGTGTTGGACCACTCAGTGGAAATTTAAACTATCCTGTAGCGGGCAGAGAGGCTGTGACACTGAGGCTGTTTTAGAAGTAGCAGATTTATTTGTGCAGGTATGTGACTCTGCAGGCTAATGCTCCCAGGCTGAGCGCCCCGGGAGAGAGGAGAGGGGTCTTATACCTTAGTTTAGGTAAGGGGGAGGGGATCGTGTTAAGCGATTACACATTTTCTTTGGAATTTACACGGTTGTACTCAGCAAAATCAGATTTTTAGAGAACAAATGGTCTTCAGGAAATGCATGGCAAGCAGGGGTTGCAAACTGATAACTTCAAAAAGAGAGGATTTGGGTAAGTTTGTGAATTGGTCACTCTTGTATTTCCAGGAAAACCGTCAGTCTCGACCCCTCATGGGTCTAGACTTAATTTGGTGCATTAACATTATGTGGGCCACAGTTTTTTGTTCAACAACTGTTTTCACAAACTTAGAAATGGCATTCAGCCGGGCTTGGTGGCTCAGCCTGTAATCCCGCGCCTTTGGGAGCTGAGGTGAGTGGATTGCCTGAGCCCACAGGTTCTCCCGCCTGGGCAGCGAGACCTCATCTCTACAATAAATAAAAAAATCAGCCGGGCGTGGTAGCACATGCCTGTAATTCCGGCAACTGGGAAGGCTGAGGCAGAAGGATCGCCGGAGCCCAGCAGGTCAAGGCCGCGGTGGCCGAGAGCGGCCACTGCACTCCAGTCTGGGTGACAGAGTGAGACTCCAACTCAAAAAAAAAAAAAGAAATGGCATTCATAATTATTGGGGCTATGCAATGGAGGATAAGACAAGATTCCACTAACAGGACTATAGATTGAATAATGTACTTAAATCCTCCCAGACCTGAAAACATGTTTTCAAACCAGTTGCTGATTTTTATGCCTTGCCATTTTTGTCCTGGGACATGGGCAAGCTTTCTAATATTGGTGGCTATATTAGTTATTGCTTTACTATTATCATCTATTTGCAAACAACAGTCAGAGCTATTAAATTTACCACATACTCCTCCTTCCACTAGCAGGTAGTTCAAAGTTAAGCGGTTTTGATACATAGCTGCGTGCATTTGGGTTTGTGCTGAGCAACAAACTCAAAAGCCATAGCTGTTTGATTAGTTGTAACTTCTAAGACAGCTTATAACCTGATAATGCAATTTAGCATATATATAGGTGTGTGGTATCCCCAACTTTCATCTTGTGCCCATGCGGCTGAGCCATAAGTATTTATAATTCTCTGGGGTGGCCATTTGTCATCTTTCCAAACCTGGATCCCTCCTATATTAGGAACTTCATCCAGGGATCGAGCATCTCGTGTTTTGAGGGTTTTATAAAGGGGAATGCCAAGTTCATTCCCCCCTTGGGTTAGGCAGAAGGAAAAATCTTGGCTGGATTATTCCTATGGTACATGTGTCTTTTCATAATGCTGAGAGCTGGGCATATGTGACCTTTTCATATATCCAAAATAGCCCTATAGGGGCTTTCCAGATTTACAGAGGACAGATCTGTCCAGCTCTGACTTATAATGGGGATACCTTGAAACAGATTAACTTGTTCAGAGGATAGTACTGTACAGTTACTTATAGTTTGGGTGACAATCGTACATTGAGAAGATTTAGTTACATAAGCAGGTGCCCAATTCCAAACAGGGCTTGTTGGCCACCAGAACAAACTTCTGGATGGGGTGAATAACTATGGAAGACTCTTACATCTGGCCAGATAGTTTCTATACATGTACATGCTGGGTGTGTGGGGGAAGCGATAAACACCCAAATTAGGCAGAAATACATAAAAGCGTAAGAAAACTTCCTATCATAAGAAAGAATGGAAATGCTAGTGAGACCCTTTTCTAACATGTTGAATGGAGACAACTCTTAATTCTATAGCAAATAAAGTCAGTTTTACAGCAATTAAAATGATAAACAGTTTAGCAAAGATAAAGGTTGACAAAGCAAAACAATGGCTTATCAGTAATGTCCGCTGAGTCCTTAAGCTGAATTCTCAACCTTCTGCCAAAGTGAGTCAGTCAGCCAGCCTCCAGTGTGTAGTTAAAACAGGGCCAAAGTATCCTCAGGCTTTTAGAGCAGGGCTTAAGAAATCTGTTCCAGGTTTTCCATCGGCCTTGGTGACCTGGCTTAAAAGAATGGGAATAGCCCGCAAAGCGCTCCTCCTCCTGTATGAAATTGCTCTGCTCTGTGAAGTATTCAACCTCAGTGTCCCTGAGGGGCTGGTCTGTTAAATCTGGATGACTAGAGAGTATTTCATGTATTAGTTTAATGCAATCGTGGTCTGGCTGTCCTGGCTCCATGGGTAGTAAGGTCTTCACTACCTCTAGGTGAATACATGGGTTTTTCACAGAGCATTCCCTGACATCTGACCATTCTAGCATTGGTTAGCCAATTCTGCCTCTTGTATTTCATTAAATTTATTACCACACGAGGTACCCTGACTGTTAGGTGTTGTTTCATAGTTAGTCTGATAGCTTCCGTTATTAGGAGTGCTGTGGCTGCCAGGGCTCATAAACAAGGCAGCCAGCCCTGGGTCACAGAATCTAGCTGTTTGGATAAATATGCCACAGGTCTATGCCATGACTCTAAGCATTTGAGTTAAGGCCCCTACTGCAGTGTCAACGTATTCATGCATGTATAAAAAAAGAAAGGCTTAGTCATATTCGGGAGTCCCAGATCAGGTGTATCGGTGAGGGCCTGTTTAATTTATTCAAAGACCTGTAAATGGGTCTTTTCCCATAGCAGAGGCTCCAATTCACGCACCTTTGAGGCTTCATACAGGGGTTTTGTCATGATAGAGAAGTTAGGTATCCAAATTCTATAGAACCTTACAGTCCCCAAAACTTATGAATTTGACACTGGGTAGTTGGGTTGGTATAAACACACTGCTTGTTTTCTTAATGGGCCATTGTTGTAAACTAATTCTTGTTAGGTTATTATTATGAGCTGTTCCACTTCTTACTTTGAACTTTTGAGTGTACAGATTTAAATGCTTTCAGTTAGTTCCCTGGAGGGGTGAGACCCATTAGAGGCTCCTGAGACTAGAAGTTGCCCATAAATTTAACAATCTGGGAAATAGCATGTGCTAGTATAGGAACAGGACCACCCTTAGGGTCCTTTTCTCTTTTCTTACAACTGTTGGTTGGGTCCTTCCTCTCTTCAATTTTTAGCAGGACTTATTCCCCTGGGATGCTTGGGTTTTCCATGGTCCAGGAAGTTCCTAGGGAAACAAGCTTATGAACTGTGATTAAAATTTGTCCCAAATGGACAACATATTTCCTTATGAGCATTTATGTTTGTGGCCCCATTTCCTTCAGAGGGGTAGGAAAAAGGCCTACCGTTAAACAATTTCAAAGTTTTAACGAATTCCATATCAGGGACTTGGACCCCAAGCGATGCAATACCAAATACCTATGTTCAGTTTACTTGTGTCTCCAAAGGATTTCTAGTGATTATTATGTTAAACCACAAATTGAAAGAGTGTACTGTCTTAGTCCTATATCTGATGGAGTTTGTTTTTTTTTTTTTTTTGGATTTGCCAAGTGGTGGGATAGGCTGCCACTCAGCCTGCAGTAGAATATAATTTTTAAAATGTTTGAACACCTTCTAAAACCCACCTATAGGAAATTTATCTATGTCTAGCCTGTGCTAGCTACCCTGTCTCAATTATTTATTCTTTAGAGATTTTTTGATCCCATAATCAAAAGGAGTACTGAAGGGTGAAGGTCCGTTTTCTATAACTTCTTCAGAGCTGACAGTGGGCGTAGCCCTGTCTAGCCAGATATCAAAAATCTCTCCCTATCTGACGAGGCATCCAGATCTGTTTCAGCAGTGGCATTATTTGCAGGCACTGACTGGAATCCTTGCATGACTGTTATGTGGGCATGAAATTGTTGGATTCAGGTTCAATAAAAGGAATAAAGTCAGGCATACATTTTGACAATTTTAGGTAGTGACTGATCACCTTTTGTACAAAAGCTACAAGGCCTGAAGTTATTAGCATAACTTAAATGATAAACTTTAATTTCTGTGGCTTTATTACAAGTACCAGCCTTTGGAGCTTTTAATGTATTTCTGGACTATAATGGTAGCCTGGCGGATTGTTTTAGACTATAATTTGGACCAGGCACTCAAGTAAATTTTATATAAAATTTGAAGAGAAATCCGAAAATGTTTGGAGACTTGCATCCAGAAAAGACTTTATTATGCCTAGATTGTTTATAGAATTTCTTTTGTCTATATACTTTTTCATAAACTTTCCTCACACCATTTTTGGCATGCTTATACCATTTTATTTTTGCTCTCTACCCCCTTTTTAAAATTTTTAGATAACTATTTGCTTTATTATAGGACAGAAATTTACTATATAAGATCTCTTTTTTTTTTTTTTTTTTTGAGTTGGAGTCTCACTCTGTCGCCCAGACTGGAGTGCAGTGGCTGCTTCCAGCCACCGCAGCCTGGATCTGCTGGGCTCTGGCGATCCTTCCGTCTCAGCCTTCCGAGTAGCCAGAATTACAGACATGCACTACCATGCCCGGCTGATTTTTTGATTTATTGTAGAGATGAGGTCTCGCTGCCCAGGCGGGTCTCGAACCCGCGGACTCAGGCAATCCACTCACCTCAGCCTCCCAAAGGTGCGGGATTACAGGCTGAGCCACCGAGCCCAGCTCTTCTAAATTTATTTAATGATATTCTACTACAAAAGAAGAGCTTTTCATTTTCTTGTATTTACATCTATGTATTTACTTATTTATATCAGTATGGACTCTTTGATTCCCATTTTAGTCAATGTATTGTAATCTGGCACTATTATTTATTTTAATGTTCAATTGCCCCTGATTTGACCAGTGGAACTCTTCAGTTTATTCTTTTTTTTTTTTGAGTTGGAGTCTCACTCTGTCACCCAGACTGGAGAGCAGTGGCCGCTTCCAGCCACTGCAGCCTCGACCTGCTGGGCTCCAGCGATCCTTCTGCCTCAGCCTTC